TTGCGTTTTTTCTAGAACGTTGCTTTTTCGCAACGATACTCGGCGATTAACGTAGAGAGAGAGAGAGGAAAATAAAAAAAAAAGAAATGAAAGAAAGACTCCTCAGCATCGAGGAAGTAAACTTAATTTAAGTAAACACCGTTTGAAAGAAGACGGGCTCTCTAAAACCATCCCATTTAAACATAATTGCAAGTCCCCTTTGACCCGCGGATTAACTTAAAAACTTATAGGTAGTTTTAAAACTTTGATGCTTTGCCGTTTAAAGTTAGATTTACTTTTGGCTTAATTAAGCTTGAAACGGCGGAATGTTTTGCCGTGGAACGGTTGTGTTAGTGTCGCGGTTGATATCTGATTTGTGATAATAAAATAATTGAAGCGGAGTTGTAGAATTAGCACACTTATAAAACTTAATCCAATTTTGGTCAGACAGTTTGGGACTCGGAGACGAAGAAAGAAGGAACTTCGAAGATACATTCCGGACGTTATCTTATAACGTGATTTTGTTTAATGGAGAGAGAAAAAATATGGAAAAAGTATCATCTGACATGAAAAGGTATGACAAATTTATCAACCAGTTTCTGGACCATCAACAATATCGGGACAAACGTTGTCGTAAATTCATATAACGATAGCTCATACCAAATATACGTTTAGTCACGTTATCAAGCTGGCGCCATTTACATATTTTCCTTTAATTATTTTTTTTTGTATTTTCGTTATGTGATATGGCTAAATGATCACGTCAAGCAATTTAGTTCTACAGATTCAAGTTTCATTGGTGATAATGGGTTCAACGATAGCTTTATTTAGTTTTTGAATACCTGTTTTTGCTGGGTAACTCTGGAACGAATATCTCTGTGACACCTTACGTCCTACGTAAAGCATGAGCTAAGATATTTAAATTCATTACAGAGCTTCATCATTCCTTCATCGGTACCAAACTCCTGATCATCAGCAAAACGTCAGAGAAAGAAGCAATCGCTTTCTATTTGAATATCCATCCCACGGTACATTGTACCTTATCTTCGGCATATAATTTGAAAACTGGGTTCTAGCAGGAAGCCTTTTTCTATTTCACTTTGTTCTCATTTCTGTCATTTATTATATGGCATACCGCGTTTTAATAAACATTAAAAGACATCTAACTTGTGCTGAATTTAGTCAACTCTTTCAATATTTCTAAGTCTACGACCACTAAATGGGTCCCTATATTTCTTGCCTTTTGTCTTCTCTATAAGGTGCCTTACCGTGCAATATTATTACAGAGTAAGGTAAATTGAATAGAGAAAAAAGCATATCATCTTAACTTGCTTTTGTGGAAACCCAAATACAGTCGAACTTCGATAAGTCGAACTTCGAAAACTCGAATTTTTGATAAGTCGAACCAAATTGGTTGGCAATAGCGTCAAAAGTAGGAAATGCGTGTTAGTTTGTCTTACTCGAACTTCGGTTACTCGAATATCTTGATAACTCGAACGAAACATTTAGGGCCAACTTCGATAAATCGAATTTTCTCGGGGAACCCCCTAATTACGACCGATCTTAACCTGTCTTTTTAACGTATCTATGCAAGCAGTTCAGTTTCTGTGCTTGCTAAGTTCACTTGTATGACTTACTAGTTAATATTAAGTGAAAAATACTGTCCCTATTCAATTTACACATTATATTAAAGACATTTTTGGATTTTTGCATTTGTTGATATGTCATCAAAACGTACTTTAAAACTTTTGTCTGTTGATCAAAAATTCAAGTTTATAAAAGAAGTGGAATGTGGCTCAAAAAATAAAGATATAGCTGTGAAGTATGGGATTTCGGCAAGTACAGTGTCTACAATTTTGAAAAATAAACATTCAGTCATCACCGCAATGGAACGTTTCAAAGAAAACAAAAACAAGAACATTACACTAATGGATTGTGTTGACGACATAACTACCGCATGGAATATCGACGTTAATTTTGAAACAATTTCCAATTGTTTTAAAAAAGCCGGTTTTGGTCAGTATTCTGAATGGGAAGAAGAAGATGAGATTCCCTTGATTAACCTAAGTGAACGCCTGAAAGAAAGGAGTGAAGACGAAATCCCAATAGAAATCGAGTTTAAAGCTTGGACAAACATTAGAGGTATAGCAGAAAGTAGCACCATCAACGATTTTATACATGTGGATGAGAATATTGTTACTTCAGAGTTTCCTACTGATGAAGATATTGTCGAGTCCTGCGGATCCGAACCGGTACAGTTAAACATCGAAGATGACTGGAAAGTGACACGATGGAGGAGGAATTGGAAGATGATTCTCAGCAACCACCTTCAGATGAATTGGTTAAAAATTCGTTGATTATCTTGCGTTCCTATTTGAAAACCAGTGAATACACAACCAATTTCATCTATGATTGTTTAAATAAAAAACTAACCAAAATAAGAAATCCGGTCGTCAGTCACAAATAACTGACTTTTTTTCAGTGAAAGTGTAAATTTTAATATGTACATACATATGTATGTAAATGTGCAAACATACTATGTTTATATATACTGGGTACATATACAATACATTTGTATGTACATATATTATGTAAATACATACATACATATATACTACTATTTCATAATTTTCGTTTTTTGTTCAAAAATCATAGATGTTAGGGCATTTATGTAACGTATAATTCCTTAAAAATGAATGAATAAATGTTCATTCATAAAAAAGTACATGCATTTGTAGTTTTTATTAATGATTGACTCTATTCGAATTTTCTACGTGTGCGACGTTTCGGGCGCCCTCTCGTTTGAATTTTTTTCAATTAATTGGAGAAACGAAGACAAAGTAAAATTATTATTGCCGCTAGAAAATTTTTACGCGTTGGCGGCAGCGGGAGGTTGTTAATTTAAAAATTCGAGTAGTATACCGTAAGCGCTTGTGAAAAATCTACTTAGGGGGCCTATGAATAATTCAGTCGGGAATTAAAGAGGTAAGTTTTACGGTTGGAATTCGGTTAATGAAATAATAAAGTAGTTTTGGAACTTTGACTACGTTTTCTTCGAAGGACTCGCCGATAATATCGTCTTCTATTTTATCGCTTTATTTGGAAGGTAGCGAATTAAAGCATTGATCCTATATAATTTCACTAATATCACTAACGTAAAGGTAACGCCACATACAACATTTAATAATAATAAAGTCTATTATTCCAAACTACCGAATGCGTAATGATTTCGAAGCCAACTAAGCCTAAAAAATTAATGGCTGACAGGAATTTGAAATAGTAAAAAAAAGAAACGAGAAGTAGTAAGAAAGGAAGAAAAGAGAAATATGTTTTGCTACGTACATTATTCAACGGCTATCCAAATAAATGTCAACGTATTAATATAAATTTAGGCTTCATTTGTTTTTTAAATAAGCAAATGCATATTGTAAACTTATTTATTTTATATTTATTAAAACAGATTTTACAAAAACTCTTTTTTTGTGGTTAGGCACAGCTAACCAACGTTGGCGACGGATATTTTAATATTAAAAATAATTTCAGTAACTGAAAAAGTAATATCTATTAAATGATTGTTGTTACAAAAATGTAGTTCTTCATTATTAGCTACATCATTGTTTCAATTTATTCCGTTTTTTATGCTTAAGAGAAGAACTTTGAAATTTTTAGATTAAGATATGCTTTCTTTTCAGTCACTATAGCGGATGTAGTTAAATTTCTCGGTAGTTTGTGGTAATTCTTTTGTAAATTTGATATTCTGGGTTATCCAAGCAGTATACGGATCACTTATTCCCCTTGTTTTTCTAACTGGTGAAAATGGTTAAAACTGTGGTCCTGAGCAAAGCCACTTTACACTAATATCCTGGAGATCATCCGTCTTGAACCAGATAACATTTTCCAAAACGCACATACTAAAAGATGGTCCGAGATCTTATGTCTATTACACCAGAATGGTCTATCTTTTTTAAATTTCACACGTCATATAGATAATAAGCAGATTTTCCCCATTAATGAATTAGGATATAAAGCTCTGCTACATATAACCAGAAATATATTTAGGGCTACAGATAAAGGCAAGCTGACATTACTCACCCCTTTAGTTTACTCGAAATATTTTGATACTCTTAACTACCAAATTTTTGTTTGAATGTTAAATTTTATTGCATTTTCAAAAAACCCTATTAATCTTTTAGCTTCATACCTACAAGATCGATCTCAAGCAATAACATATAATGCTGTAACTTCTTCATTCATAAACTTTGATAAAAGTATACCTGGTTATTATGCAGAGAACATACATGGTTTCCTTTCTTTTTTTCTTGTGAACTATAACTTTAACAAGTTCGCGAGATGTTCACTAAGCATTGTTTACAATTAAATAATAGCAAAACGGCAGTAATTCTTTTTGATGATACGGAGAGATTTCTATTGGTTAGTCATTCTATTTAGATTAATAATAAAAAATTTAATTTTGTAATTCAGTGAGAAACTGAGTATTGATAATAAAAAATAATTTGATATGTTCAAATAATATTTCTGAATGTTTACAAAAGGCTATTTAATGTTAAAACTTATATAGCAAAATAGTGAATTTTTAATCAACAAATATAAAACAACTTTCTGTGAATCTCTGGTTTTGTCTCAGTTACGGGGAAGCACTGTACGGCTCTCGTTTAAACTATTTTGATAAATAAAATTAGTCAGACATGTTAAAAAGTCAATTGGCAAAATACTAAAAATGTTAAGTTTCTTCATTTTTTAAGTGCACTCGGTATAATTATGGAACATGCAACAATATTTGCTAATATTAGTATTTTAGTTGTAAAGTCAATAAAAACACACCCTATATGTTGCACACTAAAATGACCGCAATCTTATACATTGCTTGTTGACAGAAATAAGTTTCGCTAGAAGTGTCTATTAAAGTCAGAACAAATTATTAATGCGGTTTTAGATTTTTTTTTATGATGTGGCAAATTTTATTTTTTACTTCAATATTTACAATTGCGATTTTTTTGCAGATCTTAAGAAGCAATTCGAGGTGACGCCTCCGGAAGTGCTGCGCGTGGAGATGGGCCAGCACACGGAACTAAAGTGCGTGCCGCCTCAGGGCATGCCACCTCCCAGAGTGTACTGGCTGAGGGGCGGGCAAGTTTTGCAGTCCGATACCTCTGTCCTCGTAACCAGCGAGGGCCAACTTTTGATAGGTCAGGCGAGGTCTCAGGATACTGGGAATTACACTTGCGTGGCGGAGAACATCGCCGCCAAACGAATGGCACCTACATCTCAAATCGTCGTGTACGGTGAGTCTCTTGTTTTGGTTCTTCGATATCATCGGCGTCATTTTTTCTCAAACGTCTGCAAACTATTTTCTCTAGTACCGGGTGTCCATTTTTCGACGGTTTTACAGGACGGGATATTCCGCTTATTAGTAAAGATACAGGGAAGTCGTTTTCTCGACACTATAATTTAAACATATTTCAAGAAAACTCTGACCGATAACTGTTTCTATAAAGTTGCGGAATTCATCTAGAATTTTAATTGACAATTGTTATCTGTTCGCTTTGCATGAAAGTTCAGCTATGTCTGAACAATTGATTCCCTAATGCCTGTCCATAATAACCAACCGATAGGTACTTCTTCAGTGTAATGTAACAAGTTGATATTTAAATGTGAAAAATACTACTTTGATATCCGAAATGGTGACTATCGGTGACCATCTATCTATCAATTTTTATTTGGGCTGTTCCAAAGAAAATACTCAAACATATTGCATCTATATGGAAGAGAAGTTATATCATCTAATCAGGGAATACAGAAAATGTGAAAAATTACCGAAGTATAACTGAGCAATCGGCACTTCCCAAATTATTCTAAAAAATTTTTTTACTGTAGCAACTTTTTCTGTAAATATTAAAACATTCCGATTATGGTAAACATAACCTCTATTCCGGATTTTCGATTGAACCATTGCACATGGCGGACATTATTCCTTGATATGTGGTCAGTGATGCTTTTAATGCAATGCAGAAGAACCGCTCATTTTCTTCGGGAAGATGTGATCAAGTGTATTTTGTAATGAAGAAGAGCAAAGGTTAGGAGTTTATTCAGATTTGATGTCTGGTTTTATGATTGTGTTCTGTAACTCCTGATGAATTTATCGTAGTCTTAATGCAATTCTTCAAATTCAGATTTTTTTATTGATGTATAAATCTTAAAATTATACATGCGTCGCAAAGTCAAAATATAATAGAATTTTAAAATAAAAGTAAAAAAAAAAATAAACACCTCAAATCCACTCCAATTAAATACATAAGACACCAACAGTTGGGATTCATGATAATCGGAGTTAAATTCAGGCATCAGATGAGGTAGCAATTTTTTTTTTACTAGTAATAAAATTGACAATGTTCAAACAATAAATAACATTAGTTCTATTTTATACGGTGCCAATACAAACAAGTACAATTTTCCACTCGATATGATAACAGAGCAATGGTATTCATTTACTTGTTCTACCGATTTTTTTTTCGTTTGACTGAGACGGACATTACACAGGGATAGATGTTTCGGCACACAGATTTTCTTGAAGTGTCAGACTTTTTCTGTAAATATTAAAACATTCCGCTTATGGTAAACATAACCTATATTCCGGATTTTCGATTGAACCATTGCACATGGCGGACGTTGCTGCTGCCCGGTTCCAATAAAATTGTAGAAATCGGTTGAAATTAGTGTCGTTTAAAGAAAATTTTGTTTTTTACATTTGTTTTCTGAAGTGATAGAGACGTAGTGCCTATAATTTCGAGAAATAGTGTTCGTTTTACGCGGATGTACGCGGATTTGTGATGTGTTATTCCATGATGTATATGTTAGCACGATTTCCGGATATCCTATATGCACGCTAGTAACCAGGCCGGATGGGATCGGATATCTCGTATAGGATAATTGCGGGAGTCGTATGAAGAATCGGTCATTTTATGACAATATTTAGAAGTTATTCCCGTTTTTGTATATGTTAACTAACCTGGAGGATGATGGATTGGTCCAGATCCTTCTTTAAGGAAGGCATACTTCAGGAATTTGGTATATGTGACACTCATCGTAAGCTGGCCGAGCCACCGATTGCAGTCGTGGCCATTAGAAGTAAAATCCAATCCAACCTCTATTCCGCATTGAATTATAGAATTCACTTTTATTTAAACCTACCTTCGAACACGGTAATTAGCTTAGAATATTGTAAAAACGTTTATCATTTAATTCTTTTCTTCCACGAATAAATATTGGAATTCTGAAAGTCCCATTATGGTTTTCACAACAATCCATATTTTGATCAATATTTTTGAGTGTTCCATAGTAGTCGAGTTGGTTTGCCCGAATTTTCGTAGGTAGCTGATTTTGTAAAGTATGGTAATGTCCCACAGGCTTAGCAGAAATTTTAGTTGCCCATGTTCACGCGAGTGTTATGGTATTATCTGACGACGGTTAAATTTTCAACTTAATTTCCGGTTTGCGTTGAGTTGAATTAGCACGTGACGCGCTGAATGTTTTTTGTATTTTTTTTATTTTTCAATATAGTCGTCGTCTACGACGCCCATTTAGTAAGTTGACCTTGGTGGTTAGGTCGCGTAAAAATTTTTATTTCTTTCTTTTGCAGCAATTTTTATGGAACCCCAGTCCCAACTTTAGTTAGATTGCAAATTTAGTTTTTGTTTGTTTTTTTTTTTGGATTTTTGTGTTCCGATACTCTCCGATACCCTCTGATATTCTTTGTATACTTCTTATATAAGCTAGTACAAACGAAGCAGCTTCAGATAAGCGGCCGTAATCGCCCAGGAACTTTGTAAAATCTTTCGCTTCGAATTTAAAATAATCTATTTCCTTTTTAAATTTTCCATTTTAAAAAACTAGTATTGCCATATATTTAAACTATCTTGGCAAACCGATAATTCCTATATTCAGAATCTAAAAAGGTTATGTTATTGCCCAGTTAAATCTAAATTTACTCCATATTTATGGCCTGCACATTAATAAATTCAAAAGAATCCAGCGAAAATTTCTAATGCACTTGGCATTCAGGATGGATGGTCACCACCTCCACTTCTCCACTTCCACCCCGGGGCTGTGACCATACAGCGACCTCAACCAATGCTGGAACGAAGGTCCCATTTACTTTTGCGTCGAAGAATTACACTATACTATATCTCAAGGGTTTCTTCCTTGTCTGACGCAGTCTCATGTCGATGTTGAATAGTCTTGTTGTTAAGTAGTGTATATTTTTATCATTTTCTCTTTTTTTTGCTTTTGCTTGTTATTGTCTTTGCCCAAGTATTTTTAATTCTTTCTAAAACTAGTGTGTTAAAACATTGTTTTGTAATTGAACAGATTTTGAACTAAATAAAGCGTTGTTATTGTAATTACCGAGTGGGACCTCGCTTTCATAACGGCCGGGTGGCTATTTAAGTGCAGATTTGACGTTTCGGTCTGTTTCGTCTTCAGCACAGTGTCACGCCACTTCCTAAATAAACCCATCAAATCCCGTCCGATTCCGAAAATAGATTTCGACAGTTGCGCGGCGTGGCGACTTTGTCGAGCGAATTCAATTTCCTCTGAGCGAGTTTTAAACGAGGAAATTTTAATGATCCTTTCTAATTGCACTAGGCGGGTTCTTTTTGGGTTTGATCATAATTTGTCTTGAAGTCGGACCCGGTTGTTAATGATACCGAACCGAAAATACTCGAGAGTCAAAGTATTCTTTCCGCGACTTCGGTGACTGAGCTTCCGACACTAATTATTTTTAAAAATAGCTCCCCCGGAGGAAGGTGCGAGGGCGTTGTAGCCGTGGTATCATCAAAAGTGCACAATTAGGATGAGATGCCGTGAAGTGTACACTGTCACTCGATGTTGTTTAGTTGGTTCCGGGAATTAACAGGAAAATGTTTTGCTATTCCCCAGATTAAAAAAAAAAAATAGAAACAGATTTCGTAGAAATATACAAGTTGGTAAGACTGAGCATTTTAGGGCAGAGCTCTAACAATAGTATCACTAAACTTTGCGGTTTTATTCTAACTAAATAAGTTCATCCGCGTTGTTGTGGATCACATTTCCTTTTCGATTTTTTCTCCTAAGTATTGAACATAATTACTCCAATTTTGTTGTAACATGTTGAAATGCTTCATCTATTAATCAACGAATATGTTGAAATCCGAGTTGTTCATTTCCACATATCACTTTTCTTGATTATATAGGATCTCAATAGAGTTACTGGATACCTAAATTTACAAGGATGGTAGGGAGCGTTTTCCATAACAACATTTTTTTCCATTGTTATGTAAACTGGGAATTGGAAACTCCTCAAACCATTGTTATAAACAATTTGTCTGAGTAAACACTATTGAGTTTGAAAGCATCACTCACAGCTGCACTTAAACTCAATTTTTCGCAATTTACTAAACACCAAATTATTAATCACAATTTTCTCCTATTGACTACCATCGACTTTACAAACAAATTTTAAATATGTTACTTTAATCTTTGTATGAGGAATCCATTTAAAATTCTGGGACTGCTATACGATTCTCGCCAACGCTGTGTGTTGGACTATAGACTAACTAACCAAAACAACTCATTTCATGCTTGTCTATGAACCGTCATCGGTTAGCATGATGTGGAGTTGCTGCTGATGAATTTATTTGTCGTAGTCGTAAGGATCTTTCGTGTTTTATTACGATACTTGATATTTTTCTTCCTTTCTCTTCAATTTATTCTTTGACGCATATGCACGAAATGCTAAGCGGCTTTCTGGTGTCTCAAACGGGATTTTGTGTTTCATGAATCGAAAATTTTGAAAATTGGTAAATCGGGTTTTAACATTATTCCTTGATATGTGGTCAGTGATGCTTTTAATGCAATGCAGAAGAACCGCTCATTTTCTTCGGGAAGATGTGATCAAGTGTATTTTGTAATGAAGAAAAGCAAAGGTTAGGAGTTATTATTTTATTTATAAGACACCAACAGTTGGGATTCATGATAATCGGAGTTAAATTCAGGCATCAGATGAGGTAGAAACATATACTCGGTCTACTAGCCTTTCTGTTGGAAGATCCAAAAATTGGGAGGAAAAATGCATTGCGAGAATGAACGAGTCTTAAAAAATCAATTTCTTATGCCACACCTTATACGGGTGTGACGATTTTGATTTACATTCATACATAAAAAGAAATGGCACACGAGCTATAACTCGCACAGCTCTCCTCTGTAGGGCAAATACATGCATGAGGAGAATGGCACCACACTTAGCTTA